ACTTATAAAACCATCAGATCTGTGAGAACTCACACAGTATCATGAGAACAGCATGGGGGAACTATCCCCATGATCCAATTACTTTCCACTGGGTCCCTCCCACAATATATGCAGATTATGGGAACTACAATTCAAGATGAGATTTGGGTGGGGACACAGCCAAACCATATCACCTCCCAAAGCTGCCATCACCAAATACCATCACACTGGGGACTGGGTTTTCAATATGTGTATTTTGGGGGATACAAACATTCAGTTCATAGCAGAGAACTTTATAATGTATAAATCTGGCTTTGACATCCTGAATTCACTGGTCAACTTTAATATCAATATAATAGGGCACTATGTACTTCTGTGTATGATGCAATGGACAGAACCATCCATGAAGTTTTGGCAAAAATCTGAAGCCTAAATTTAATCAAGCATCCTGTTTATCTACTTACAGGAAATATAGAGGATTGAGGATAAACCAAAGGATATAATCAGCAAAATCCACAATGTTAGAAAGTAAATGATAAGCAATAAATTATCACACACTGAAAAAGATTTAGATACATTAATCAAACATAATATGCAAATATTATCTGACATCCCGATTTAACCAAACACACAGTAGGAAGGTATTTGTAAAACAATTGGGATATTGTTAAACTTTGACTGGATACTTGATAATATTAAGAATTTTTTCCTTTTGAGATTGTCATTTTTCTTTCTGTAGTTATCATTCTTCTCCTTTTTTTTTTTTTTTTAATAGAGGCAGGGTCTTGATACATTGCCCAGGCTGATCTCAAATTCCTGGGCTCAAGCAATCCACCTGCCTTAGCCTCCCAAAGTGCTGAGATGACAGGCATGAGCCACCTCCCCCAGCCCATTTTTCTTTTTATGTTTTTAATTTTTAAAACTAATTTATCTGAGATACATGCTGAAGTGTTATAGGCCTTGAAAGCTATTCAAGGAACTTATAATTTCTGACCAGCTGGATTTGAGAATTGCTACAAATCTTTAGCCTTTGTCCCTCTCATTCCCTTCTTTTTTGAATCGGAACGTTTATATCTGTTATCTGTATTTTTCTGTCCTACTATTTTATTAGATGTGGGGGGCCAATAACTTTTCTCTTTAGTTTCACAGGTTAGTAGATCAAAAGGAACAATACTCAAGGAGCTGGACTGAAGAATCACTTCCAAAAAGCCTGTCTACATCTGGACATAATCCAGAGGATGAGATTCTAGACTTTTGAGATGATGCTATGATGATATGAGACCTCTGAGGACCTTGAGACTCTATTTTGACTCTAGAAATGACTCTGTTTTGCATGTGGGAAGTATTTGGGTCATTAGGGGCTGGAGGGCAATCTAAGGTTGACTCTAAGATGACCCAATTGATCTCCTCCTCCTAGAATCCATGCCCTTGTGAAACCTCCTCCCTTTGAGTTAGAGCTGGCCTGGTGACTTGCTTCTAACCAATAGAATACCACAGGTGATGCGATGTCACTTCCCTGATTAAGTTCTAAGTGGTTGTGGCTTTTATCTTACTTTCTGCAATAAATTCTCAGTTTCCATGCTTTAATGAAGTTAGCAGTTCACTGGACAAGCCCATATGATAAGGAGCTGAGGGAGCTGCCAGACAACAGCTAGCAAAGAACTGAGGCTGAGTCCAACACCCTCAAGAAATGGAGTTTTGCTAGCAATCTTAGGCAGCATGGAAGCAGAGCCTTCCCTAGTTGAGCTTTCAGATGACCCAGCCCTTGTCTACACCTTGACTGTAGCCCTGTGAGAGCTTCTGAAGCAAAGAATCTGGCTGAACTATGCCTGAATTCTTGACCCACAGAAACCATAAAATAATGAATGTGTGCTATTTTAAGCTGTTAGTTTGTGGTTATGTATCAGTAAATAATTAAAACATGCTGTAACTTATTTCTTTCTTTTTAACAATCCTTTGTGGTACATGCTAATAGACAACCTGGTTTTACAAATGAGGAAACTCAAGCACAGACATTGAGTAATTTCCCCAAATTAACTCATTTACACCAAGAGAGGAGAGATTTTTTTCCCTATTCCACAGTATTGCTATGACATTAAAGAGGCAAGATGAGTGACAGTGGGTATGTTTTGTGGGTTGCTGCAGGGGAAATAAGTGTAGAGAGTAGCTTTAAGGCATTCTGCAAAGCAGGGTGTTGCTATGTTCATTTCACTGGATTAACACTTACCATCCAAACAGGGCTTGTGCCTCCATACCTTGCACTGTCCAACAGACATTTGGAGAAGAAATGGTGCGGGCATGGTCGGGAGAGGGTGGGATGTATGGTCAGCTTTAGCTAGCTGTGAAAGTTGCAGATACCAGGATGAAATTGCTTTCATCAGACCCAGACAAAATAGAGCTGGTAAAGCCTGACAAAGAGAATGCTCATGCTCTTATATATCTGGGATAAGAAAAACTGTTTCCAAGAACTTTCTAAAAACCCTTTGATTTATAACTAGACATCCTCTAGGACTGTGATAATTCAGATAAGATGTTCTCAAAAGAACACTTTCCTACTAACAGCATCTCCATCAATGAATTGCTAACAACTCTGGCTTTCATCCTCTAGAACCAACGAAAGGCACTTTAAAAATCCTCCCTCCTGATAGCATTAGCGGAAATACCTAATGTAAATGACGAGGTGATGGATGCAGCCAGCCACGATGACATGTGTATACCTGTGTAACAAACCTGCATGTTCTGCACATGTACCCCAGAACTTAAAGTACAATTTTTAAAAAATCCTCCCTTCCTTTTGTTCTGGGAAATGGCTTGCTACAAGCAATCATGCTTTCTTTTATGACTTACAACTTTCTTGTCTACCTAGGTTATGACCAGGTACAGACCTTCCAAATTCCCACTTTTTTTGTCTTGTAAATATTAACTGAAGTGTTTGTTGAACTGTTCAATCTGGGCAAAATGTGAACTAACTTGACTTGACCAAAGTTTAGTAAAGCTTTTCCCCTTTGCCCAGGCACCTAAACTTTGGCCCACTCTGGGCACTGGAACATGGAACCATGTTAAAGTTAAAGGCCCCTCCTCCAGGGAACTGGCTGAACTCAGGAACAGTGTTTGCTGGTCAACTGTCCCATTATACCTGTCACTCATCCCATCCCTTGCACCCAGTTCTTATTTACTTCTCTCTATAAATGAAAGCCTATTTGTGTCTGGCCTCTGAGCTGCAGATCTCATAGATCTCAGAGCCTTCTCCCTATTGCCAGAATCACCTTCCCTTTATGGCAATAATCCTTCTGAATAAAGTCTCTCTTTATGTAAATTTAAGCTGTGTTTTTTTATTTTACATTATTAACAACTCTTAAAAATGTGTAGATTTATTGACCAAATAATCTCACTTCTAGAAATTTAATCAAAGGAAATAGTTTATTTTTTAAAAAAGAGAATGCTCATGACATATTATTTGTAGTAGAAAAAAAAAAATACTAGAAACAGCAAAAATCTTTTCCAAAACAGAAAAGTTAAATAAATTACGCAACCATTCAAAATATGTTTTCAAATTGTCCTTAGTAGCATTTGAGAGTGTTCTTAATAGGTTAGTCCAAACCATTAGAGCAAGATACAAAAATATATAAAAACCTAATTTCAAAGGGTTTTATTATTATGTTTAAAAATAAAAGCCATCAATATATGAAAGAAAAGACAAATATTTCAAAATGTTAATATTACAATATTTGATAGGATGATTAATTTTATACTAAACACTGGTGTATTTTATAAATTTTCTATAGTGAATTTTTTGTAATCAAAATATTATATATATATATATATATATATATATAAAACACTCCAAACATGCCAAAGCAAGAAATTGTCTCTGGCCATCAAATATTATCTTTTCCACAAGCTTTCATTACACTCTCAGCTAGTTCCTGTTTCCTGTGAATTCCTAGTGCTTTGCCCTCTATGGCTGTAAAAACATTCTACTTTAGATTATATTATTCATGTACTTATTCCCTTTAGCCTATTGTCCTCTATTAGGTTGAAAACTTAGGGAAGGTAAGAATTGTACTTTAAATGCCATAGGAGTGCCTGGAATAGCAAAGTATCTTGCATAAAATAGATGTTTATGAATCCCAGCCATGTTGTTTGGAGTTTACATTCTCATATTCCATCCTCTAATTTTTTAATATATATTTTAATTTTGACTTCAGCTTTTATTCATGATACCCTCAATGAAATTCCTTCAATGTAATCTCTTTGTTGTCCAAGAGTCAAATATAATGTTTTCTACACTGGAAAATCACCAAAGCTGATTATTATGTGAAACAGTTCTACACCATGTTACATCCCTGAAGCAAGCAGAAACTCATGTGCTTCATTTGCAGAGTGCTTTAAGATTTAGAGTTTGAGGCTGGGCGCGGTGGCTCACGCCTGTAATCCCAGCACTTTGGGAGGCTGAGGCAGGCAGATCACCTGAGGTTCGGAGTTCCAGATCAGCCTAGTCAACGTGGTGAAAACCTGTCTCTATTAAAAATACAAAAAATTAGCTGGGCGTGGTGGTGGGCATGTGTAATCCCAGCTACTCAGGAGGCTGAGGGAGGAGAATCACTTGAACCCAGCAGGCAGGGGCTGCAATGAGCTGAGATTGAGCTACTGTACTCCAGCCTGGGTACTCCAGCAGAGTGAAACTGTCTCAAAAAAAAAAAAAAAGATTTAGAATTTGCAAGTTTGTTTATTAGATGATACATGTAAATTTCCTTGATACCTACTTACTGTTTCCTTTCTAGCGTCTCAGTTTGGGGATACTTGTGAAATCAGTCTTCCAGGTGTAAGTCTGGTCACGGGCAATTTGTGAAAGCATTGAAAAGTATCTTCACCTTTTCCCATCTCTGTTGTGAATCAATTTTCCTCACACCTGAGACTTGTTGCCTACAACCAACCTTGTGTGTCTCTAAGGTGAAAATTTAGAATTTAAGCATAAACATTACAAAGACTTCAAGTGTATGATAAAAAAACCTCTTCCATCAGAGATATTCAGATTTTATTAGCGAGTCCTCCAAATATCAATGTCTTAAAAGGTTGGATTTATAATAATGGAATAACTGAAAAGCGAAGTTTTCTGGAGTCACATGACCCTGCTGTGTGCCATGTCACTTATTCACATGGCTGTTTACATCATCTGCATGAAAATATTTTCACTTTGCGTTAACCATGGTGATTTACAATTGTATGACTATTAAACTTTATTAAAAACAAGTTTAGAAAGTATAACAAAGGTGTATTTATTTCCATATATTGCTTGTTACATTTTTCTTGCCACAGTTTTATCTAAACCAGGTCAAAATTTTTCTCTAAGTATTTATTAATACTGTATGTTCTTCAGATATAAAATCCCTCTGGCCAACATACAACATTTGAATATCTATTGGCAACATACCTCTATGAAATATTTATGACATTTGTTAATAGCAAACCTCAGCCTCCTGACCCCATGTCTGAAGTCGGGGGTGATGTGGGGGGACATATACAAAATTACAAAAACATTACTGGTCAAGCACATTATAGCTAAAATCTACTGACTTTAAAATGGCATTGCATGTGAATTCGGAGTTTCAACATAGTTGTGGATCAAAGGAAAGGGTCAAAGGCTAAGCTGAACGTGGAGGGCACTGAATTAGCTAATAAGGCAGCTCTAATTAGCTCTCTATGCCTTTAGTTGTAGGGATAATCAATGCAAGTAAACCCATGGTTTAAAAGCCTATGTGGAAATGTAGATTGTTATAGAGAATAAATTAAAGTCTCGATATTTCAAAGGGAATTCATTATATGAAATGTTTCAGATAGGCGTCTGGCTAGTGCATTTTAAATATGATTCAAAATGAGGGTAAAGACATCTTCTTATGATGCCTTCTTTGCCTAAAATAAGCCAAATTGGAGTATCATCTTTGGAAACTCTCTTCAGAACTTTCGGAACATTCTTATAATATCATTTTGGTGGCAAGTTTAGTCCTTTGAGAATAGACTTTAGGGTGCAGACAGATAGGCAAAAACCAAGTGACACCTTCTACAATACCTGGCACATAAAAGCTGCTCTGTGAATCTTGGTTAAGTATTGTAAACAAGGAAGTCATATTTTTTTTATTGAATAAAACACTAAGACCCTTTTCTCATGTGTTTCTTAAATGGAATATTCTTATATTTCATATTCATTAGTTTGCATGTATATAATTAAGTTTACATCCCCTTTAACATGACTTAGTGTATATAAAGTAGAAATATACTGGGGGTGATTTCCAAATTAAAAGAAAAGAATGTGATAATATTCATCCCATATGAACTAAGCTCACCTTAACTGGTTCTGCAGGCCACAGTGACAAAGACCTGTTGTAACTCAAGAAACAAAATGGCAAAGAGTGAATCTGATAAGCCAGATCATATAAACCCAGTTTCGGACCATGAGAACATTCTATTTCTAAAAATGCAAGCCATTAGAACTCAAGGTTTAATTACAGAAGTATTTTTATTAAAAAGGAGGAACCAATTACTTGTCTACATTGTAAATACTTTTGCTATCTAAAAGCTATCTGAAATTATTTTAAAAACTCTATTTTATTCATGAATATTGATCCACTGGGTGAAAGTGTTACTTCCCAGTCTAGGCTTTATGAATGTTTCCGGAACCTAGGTCCTGGCAAGTGCACCCCTGTTCTTGCCCCAGCAATATCACTGCATCCTGTTCTCTCAAGTGTTATAAAGAATGATGAATTTAAGACTTCAGGAGTTCCTGAAAACTGATATTAAATTAAAAGCAGAGCAGCCAAAATTCTTTGCAAATGATTTCTCTGATAGGAAAAATTATTTCCAAGCTGTGTCAGAGGAGAATTCTCCTTTAGGTGCCAAGGAAATAATGATAAAGATGCTCAGTATATTAGTCAAGGTCATCTGAGACTAATGGTTGATTCTTCTGAGCCCCTGAGTTGTCCAACATGATTGATGTATACCTGTAGCATGAATAGCATAGTAACCAATAATTTTTTGAATACAGCCTGTAAAACCCTCAACTTTAATGTTCCTCAGACCATAACAATATCAGCTCAGCTACAAGTCTTCCCCAAAGTGGGGCTATTCTAGTCACATATTTACTTTGTTTCAAACAGCAGGAATCCTGCAAAGGTGGAGAAGCGTTGGTGGTCCCCATGGAGAGCACCGTTGCCCATTCGCAGCCAAACCTCATCCCCTTTGGCCAGCTTCAGCACAGCATGGTTGCTGGATGTATCTGATTTGCCCTTCGTTTCATAGCTGGAAAGAAAAAGAGGCACAAACTACTTAGTCTTTGCCATGAACAACCAGCTTTTCACCAAAGTCTGTTCTCCCCTTCTCCCCTTCCCCCAGGTATAATCCTGTGGCTAAGTTCTCCAAACAGCCTGTGAGCAGAAGTGACCTATGTGCCACTTCTACAGCTGGCCAGTAACACTCTCACAAACACCCCTCCCTGCTCCTTCTTATGACTGTCTGGAATGTTCATGGCAATGACAAGAATGATTTTAGAAGCCATATGGTGAATACTGGGTTCTTGGAGACTGTGTGGAAAAGAGCTCTCTCTCTCCCTTGCCCCAACCTGGAACAACTCTGGGCTGTTTGATGACAAGGAAAGAAAGTAATACTATGTTTGATCCATTCCACTGGGTTTTTGTTGCAGCAATCTAGCTTCCCTTACTAAGCCAGAATTTGGGACTAAAAGAGACTGCTCCATAACCCAAATAAAAATAGGCTTCACTGGCTCACGGTCAGGCAAGGAGCAATGGGGAAACAAATATCATGGTCTGGAAAAGCAGGAAATCCATGTTACACTGTGCAAAAACATTTGGGAAAACATGATAACTTGGAAGATAGATCTAATACCTATCGGCTAAGAAAGGGTAATGATTGGAAAAAGCCAAAATACTCTTTGCTGCCTTTAGAAAGACATTGCTACAAAAGATCAGCTTAGGCAAAAACTGTCTTGTTTGAAGTAGAGGAAGTAAACAGTGTCTACATGGTTGGGGCCTAACAAGGTTAGAAAAGCCAGGTGTTTTTATACCTGGAAGAGCAGTGATAAAGGTGATGCTTTTTTCTTAAGACTACTCATTCAGCAACCATAAAAAAGAATCAGTTCATGCCCTTTGCAGGAACATGGGTGAAGCTGGAAGCCATAATTCTCAGCAAACTAACACAGGAACACAAAACCAAACACCACATATTCTCACCCATAAGTGAGAGTTGAACAATGAGAATGCATGGACACGGCGGCGGGGGGAACATCACACACCAGGGCCTTTTGCAGGGTCGGGGGAAGAAGAAGGGAGAGCATTAGGACAAATACCTAACGCATGCAGGGGTAAAACCTAGATGACGGGTTGAAAGGTGCAGAAAACCACCATGGCACATGTATACCTATATAACAAACCTGCACGTTCTGCGCATGTATCCCAGAATTAAAGTAGAATTTTTAAAAAAGACTACTTATTTAATCAAATAGACACAGCTGTGGCACAATCTAATGGTTTAAAAATATTGCCATTCTACCCAAATCTATTGCTTTAGAAAGCCTCAGGGTAACTCCATTAAACTGAGAGAATGGCGTGAAGACAAGGAACAGTAGGCTGAAAACTGTCAAGGAAAGTACCTGAATTGTAGTTTAGTAACACACGTAACTCAGTTGACTTAATGCATTTAACAAATGAAGCAAAAACCAGCTAAGTAAATAGAGTAAAAAAATATAGAGAGAGAGAGAGTGAAAGCCTGTTAAGTAAGTTTCTGAGGAAATGAGATTACCCAAAACTGGACTCAAGAGGCTTGGGATGTTTGACTCCGCCTTCAAATTTGCACCGCCTGGAAGTGGGCTGTGAGAGGAGGGCCTGTTCACCTTTTAGAAGTGCCACAGAGAAAAACAGATAAAGAAGATCCTCCTAGAGGACAGAATCAGGAGCCAAAGAGAAGAACAGCCAATGAACCATTTGATGAAAAGGACTACTCATTGACTGATTCGGGTCTTTGAGCTGGATGCATTGCTTGTGCTTTACAGTCCGTCTCCCATAGAGACAGAGATGGGGAGACATATATTCTAAGTGAATGAAGATGAGTTCAGCAGATATTTGGAAGCCAGAGAGGCAGAAAAGGCTAACTGTTCACCAGAATCCCCTTTCCTCTCTTCCAACAGCACTGCACTTCCATGCCACCCTTGCATTGGCTGGGTGGAAAACAATGTGACTAAGTTTTCTGAACAGAATTCCTGATCCACAAATATTTCCACAAGCTGGCAACAGCAAGCTTTTCTCCTTCTGACTATGGCAATGGCAATGACCAGAGAGATATCAAAGTCAGTTTTATAGATGGCAGAGCTGCTTTCATCAGCCTGGCTTCCTCAAAAACCAGGAAGAATAAACACACTCCCAACCTGCATCCTTCCTTCAAACCCCCATTCTTTCACAACCTGGAACTCTTGCCCTGGACTTGTCAAGAAAAATCAACTTCTAGCATGTTAGAGCTACTGGACCTCTTAGTTGCAACAATTTCACCTACCCTAACTCATCTTTCTGTCTTTTGGCATTTCAAATACATCTTCCCACTCAGGTTCTGCGCCAGAAGTAAACACAGCAATTATCACACATCATCAAAAATAACAGGGAAATGATAACAGCCACAGGGTTTTTGATAGAAAACTCATGGCCCACTTAATTGTAAGAAAGGTGTTGGCTGTCTACCTCTCTGCCACATTTCAAGCTAACATCAGAGGGCATGGGAGAATGGGAAAGCAGAAAAAGGGGCGGAGGGAGAGGATAAAAATCATGAGTTATAAAAATAATCCAAATGATTGGTAATAGGGAGTGCCACTAGTAACTAATGCAAGGCCTCTTATCAACCTGCTGATGCTCAAGTTCAGCAGATTTATTTCTTCCCAAATAGTAATGATGATAATGTGGCCATATTGGTGCATGAGGACTCTTATTAGGAAAGGGGCCATGTCAGGCTCTATTGACTCCTACACGCTTCCCTCATTCCTTGAACAAACAATGGCAGCATGGAGGAGACACGTGATAGAAAAGACCACCCACCTGTACATGCTGAAGACTGTATTGCCGTTGTGCATAAGGTATACATACACTTCCTCAACATCCTCATGCTTCATCATGCTGAAGGTGAAGAAATACACACCTGAAAAAGGCAGGTATTTATCCATGCTGATATTAACATGTTATACATTGAGGACCTAGATCTATCTGAAGATTTGCCGAATGCCTTCACATTTCTTTTATTGATATTCTTTGTAGGATGGAGTCTCTCTTCAGCCTTAATTTGTAGGAATGTCCCTTTCTCTATGCCCCTTACAAGTGCTTTCAAGTATTTTGAAACTTTCTCAATGTGTGCACTGTGTATCCAGAATAAGACTTTAAAGTCTTTAAGAGAAAGAGCCTACCTCATTTTAGCTGTATCTGTCTGCCTTGTGCTCTGACAAAGTGCTTAGGTAAAGTAGGTGTTGTTCCTGGGCATAGGTTAGCTATCATCTGCACCTACCACAGGACTCATGTTATCAAGGTACAGAGAGGTTTGGGGTTGAACAACAATGCCCCATAACTTAAGAACACAAGGAACTATAATAACACAACAGATGATTATACTCACCAAAGAAGTTAGCTAAAGGTAAGGAAACCTTGGACCACAGAATAAATGTTTATGAATTCTAAAGAAATGATTCTGGTAATTTTTCATGTTATTCCTTGTATGTTGGTAAACTTGTACACAATAAATAGAAAGACCCAACTTAGACTCAGCAAAAGTACCTTGTCACTAAAGGTCTGTATCCTCTTCATTTGAAAAAGATCAACTTATATTTTTAAAGATTTTAGTTTTCTTATAAGAGCCTAGGGGTCCTAACTGAAAGCAATATAATATGACCTAATATACTCTAAGTGCCAGCACACAAGATACTATCACTGAATGATTAAGAAGAATTCAATAGCAGACAGACAAGTCAAAAGGAACATTTTTCCAACTCTAAGTGATCTGGGATTTGGGTGTGCATTTTGGAAAGGTGAATGAACTTAAGTCATCAAGCTCTTAGTGATTTCCATGTTATATTTTAAACTAATGGCTTTTCAAGACATAATTCAGAAATATCTTTTTTTAAAAAAAGCAAAGGACAGTTCTGTCTTTTTCTCAAAGGTGCAATCAAGTAAGTTGGAAAAATAACCTGTAAAGGTGCCATGTCAGGTCACCTGATTCTAAGTCAAATTAAATGAAGAAGTATGATGATGCTTTGCCTAGTGCCAGGAATGCATATTCAATGTTCTGGGACCAAAGGAAATGGCCTAAAAGTTCATCATGCCCATTCAAATGCCTAGAGATTAGCCCACAGATGAAAAGAAAGGCAGATAAAAATGAAAAGCCTCAAGAAAAATAGTTTATAGGTGTTTAGTTTTTCATACTTTACAAAATTTCATATAAGACACATGCATGTCACAGTTTTCAATGCCTCAAGAAGATAAAGCTGAAATCAAAATGACAGGAAAATATATTAGCTTTTCTTACAAATGATTACTACTATAAAAAAATAGATTGCAAAAACATGTTAGAAAGAGTAGACTGAGAAAACCAGATGGTGAATAAATGAAATGCCTGGAGTTGGAAATACCAAACTTAATATGTATTATACCCACATGTGGCCCTTCTGCAAGGGAAGGTACTGAAGCCAGAGGAGACACACTTGCCCTACGGCTTTGAGGTCTTTGTGTTGCTGTAATTTCAAAAACCAGCCTTCTCTGTGTCTTCACTCCCAAAGTTGAAAATGGTCTTTTTGCAATCTATTGCAAAAATGGAGAGATTGAAACAGAAAACTCTGAGAGTCAAATGACAGTTGGTATCGCTAGAAACTGAACGTCTGACCCAAGAGAGCTCTGAAAACCTAAATTCTTACTTAGGCTTCAATTATAAAGCCAGTTAATTCCATGGAAACATGGACGAGGTATTTCTAGGCACTAATATAATCTGTGACACAGATAGCATTTAACAGAATAGTTTTAAGAAAATTATGACATAAACCTTCAGAGCAGAAAAATCACATAAGAGCATCAAAGGTGATTTTCCTGACATTAAAGTGTGCTGAAAGATTGTTTCTATCATTTCATATCTCGGTTCATTTCTGACTTAAGCTGAGTAGAAAAATAATTCAAGGTGTACTTAAAAGCATTCATGAAAAATCTGACAGGGCCACTGCATCCATCAGAAGTTTCTTCCTTTTAATTCTGAATACCATATAGAGAAACAAGAATTGAAAAACAAAAACCAAATAAGTATCCACATTCTGCAACACTAGGAGTCCGGAAGAAAATCAGTGACCTTCAAAATACCTGTACGTGCTGCCATATGCCCCTGAGGGTAGGCAGAGTCATATGGAGATAACAGGAGGTTGGGTAGGTTCTGAGGAGGCCAGGTGGCAGCAGGTTTTACACAGTGCCAGGAGAAATGCTCTCGCTGATAGTGAGGGCCATGTGGAAGGGAAATGCGGCAAACAAGCCCGTGAACAGCGCTGAGTTCACAAACTGAGTTCACAACCATTACCCCAAACACAGCCTTTGCTTGTGAAGCAAAGGCTGTGTTTGGGATGACGGTTGCTAGATACAGTGTAGGATGTGGAAAGAAGACCTGCAGTGGCTGATCTCAAAATCTGCCAGCAAAATGAAAAAAGAAAGGCTCTTGAAAGCAAGGAAACCAGGAAGTGCAAGACTGGTTTCAGAAGCTTTCCTAGACCCGGTGCAGTCTGGAGAGGCAGTGGAAGTGTGACCAAGAAAAACACACATCAGGACCATACTTAAAAGAATCCGTCAGTCTCCCGGCAGCAGGGGAGGGAGTCATTGAGTTACCCCGTCTAGAAACTGCCCTCATCCTTTCTTTCGCAAGAAACTATAGCTTATAGCTGGTCAAGGAAAATACAACTCATTCAACCATCAGTTAATTTCTAAAAGTAGAAAAGAAAGGCCAAAATGACCCTAATGGATTAACAATACTCTCCAAGAAAATAATGTTGTCATATAGTAGATGAAAAATGTAGTCATGGATTTCTACTAATAAAGCAAATACTTCTATGAAAGATCATTATAGAACAAAAGGCACAAACCCATGGTAGAAAAGTCAAGACAATAGAAGGAACTAAAAACTGGGGCATCAGAAAAACCTGGTGAGATCTGAATAAAGTCTGTAATTTAGTCATAGTATTGTACCTAGCTTCATTTCTTTATTTTAGAAATAGCACTTTGGTTATTTAAAACGTCAATAGCAGGGGAAGATGGTTAAAGAAAATATGAGAACTTTGTATAATATTTTTATAACTCTCCTATAAGTCTAAATCGATTCAAAGTAAAAAGTCTGTAAAATGGCATTTTCTATTTAACAACTGTCCAGAAACTTGAAAGCACATTTTCCTGATTAGGCTATTAGGAAATAAACGCTTTCATATCTTGACAATATAAGTATATTGGTACAACCCTTCCAGGGAGCAATCTGACAAAATTGATAAAAATTATAAATATGTTCACAATAATAATGTTTCTAACACTTTAGCCTACAGATATACCTGTAAGTGATCAATATCAAAATGGTATATTCTGACTGGCATGGTGGTTCACACCTGTAATCCCAGCACTTTGGGAGGCTGAGGTAGATGGATCACCTCAGGCCAGAAGTTTCAGACAAGCCTGGTCAACATAGTAAAACCCATCTCTACTAAAAGTACAAAAATTAGCCGGGAGTGGTGGTTTGGGTCTGTAGTGCCAGCTACTCAGGAGACTGAGTGGAGGATCACTTGAGCTTCGAAGGCAGAGGTGGCAGAGGTTGCAGTGAGCCAAGATGGCACCACTGACTGCACTCCAGGCTGGACAACAGAGTGAAACCCTGTCTAGAAAAAAATGAAAACAAAAACACCACCACCAACAAGGAAAAAAACAAACTTGAAACAACCCAATGTCCAGAAATAAGGGAATCACTAAATATACTTTGGTATATCCAGCTACAAGAAAGCAGATGAAGTAATGATGTGAAAAGAGTTCTAAAATATACTGTTAGTTTTTTTAAAAGCAAGATACAATCAGACTGGAGTATCCTAGCTTTTATATAGAAATGAAAAATATTTGTATTCATTTGCATAAAGAACCTCTTTTAACTTTTTAAATAAGTAAATGTATTACCTACTCAATTTTTTTTTTAATCAAAAAAATAGGATCAGGCACTCCCTGAGGAGGTGGCTAGGGGAGGAAAAGGTTATGACACATTTAAACTGAGAATTATGTTTTAAGGACTTTTAAAATCAGAGGTAACTATGTCCTTCTCAGTCCAAATCAGAGTTAATAATATTAGTAACTATGGCCATATTTTAAAAACTGTTTTTAAACAGTTTAATTAGATTCTAATTTGTTTACTTTGAAATCCAACAGAAATCTATATGTACTGTTTGGTTTAACCCGAATCAGAAAAAATAACTTCCTTAATGTCTTCCTTTATTTCCCACTCCCCTCATCCTTCTTTCCCTCCCTTCCTTTGTCAGACCCTCCCTCTCCTCTTTCCTTTCTTCCTTAACTGTCTTATTATGTTGATTAACTCATCTTCATCTATTTTTCCATCTCACCTGATACTGGGGCCCCAAATCTACCAGTCATGACATCAAAGAAGTTTCCAATGTTGGTCTCAACACTGCTGAAGATGATCCCACTGTTCTGATTGCTGAAGTGAGTTGCCAGAGAAGCCATGAACGCAATCTAAGGAAATAACTATTGATCAGTAAAGAGGCAATTTATATTAAAGAAGTCAAGTTTTTATGCCGATTCATTTGTTAAAACATTATACATAACAGCAAGACTGCAAATAAACATCAACCTATGGAGAAAGAAATGAATAAATTATGGTAATTCCTAACATTTTAATGCTGTGCAGCTGTTAGATTGACATTGTATATCAACATTTTTGAACATAGGTTTCAAAGATTGTCTTTCAAATGATTTTTGAAATATTAAAATTCTGTTATTAAATAATACCAGAAAAATTTAGATGAAATTTTCCACATATAGCCATGAAATGCATGTTAGCAAATTCAAGGATCTGAGAAACCCTATAGTCAAACATTTTAATTTTGGAAACCCTGCATTATTTTCTCCCCAAAAGATGCCATTAATGTTTTTCTTCTTTATAGAGATGAGGTCTCACTATGTTGGCCCGGCTGGTCTCAAACTCCTAGACTCAAGAAATCTGCCTTCCTCGGCCTCCCAAAGTGCTAGGATTAAAGGTGTGAGCCATGGTGCCCAGCCTATTAATTTCTAACAAAATTAATTCTTTGAATACACTTTGATAATTCTTGATGCTGATCTAAATGTGCATCTATATAAAATGAGAAAATATCTTCCATTCACTGTTTACTCTAAAAGTAGACAACACAAGATCATTATGGTCTGATACCAGATTTTATCAATTGTGTCTGTGTGGATGGAGTTATTGTGTGAGCAAATTCAGAAAAATATCTGTAAGAATATTTTTGAAATTATTAGTAGCATGTCTTTCTCAATAGAAGTTTCACAGGAAGGTTTTCTTTTCTTAATTACACTTACAATTTTCAAGTTAGTTAATTTTATATTCAGAAAAAAAGACATACTAATTTTAAAGTTATAGAATTGTATTTATTTACATGAGCGGGTATTTAGGATAGATTGTCATTTATGAAATAAAGTAATAATATGTATATATGTTTCCATCATATTTAAAAGTAACATGTATATAAGTATGCATAAATCTGAAAAGTTACATAACTGTATGTTAATAGTAATAATCTCTGGGCATGTTTTATTATTTTTTGCCCAGAAGCTTTTTAATCTTTTTTAAAAATAGAAAGATATTACGTGAATAATCTTGAAATGGTAAGAGTGTTTGCAATTATCTAAAACATAGAAAATGGTTTACTAAAATTAGCAATCGTTTTGAATATAGAACAGCAAAAATTTCTGGGCATGATTTTGGATGAAAAAAATGTCATATTGGAACTGTAAAGTTTAGAGATAGGAGAATCCAAGAAGTCATTTAATAGTCAACACCCATTCCTGGGAATGGTTACAAATACTTTATGTGTAATCTCTTAAGGGACTTCGAAAGCCTCTGCCCAATCAGTAAAAGATCAGCAAGAGAATTAATTTAAGAAGCCAACTCATGGTGGTAACCAAGAGGCTCTATGAGTTTGGGAATAAAACTGTCTACTTGGGTCCAAAAATATGAGATTAGGGCCCACCTCCCTTAATTCTGTCACTTGGTAAGTCATTTAGAATTTGAGCCTCAAATTTCTGTATCCCTTCAGTGGAAAATGGGGCACTACTCTTCCTGCTCCTGCCACTGCTTCTACTATTGCTACCACCTCTGTACTATTAATGTCCAAAGACAGGGGTGAAGGTCAAAATACAAAATGTTAACAATCATTTTTAAAGTCTTGGGATAATTCCACCTGTCAAGAAAAACTTTGTCACTATTCACAATAGCAAAGACATGGAATCAATCTAAATTTCCATTAATGATAGACTGGATAAAGAAAATGTGGTACACAAACACCATGGAACGCCATGAGCCATAAAAAAGAATGAGATCATGTCCCTTACAGGGACATGGTGGAGCTGGAGGCCATTATCCTTAGCAAACTAATTCAGGAACAGAAAACCAAACATCACATGCTCTCATGTTCCCACGTATATGTGGGAGCTAACTGATGAGAACACATTGACATATAGAGGGGAACACAAACACTAGGGCTTATCAGAGGGTGGAGGGTGGGAAGAGAGAGAGGATTAGGAAAAATAACCAATGGGTAGTAGGTTTAATACTTGGTGATAAAATAATCTGTACAACAAATCCCCGTGACACAAGTTTACCTATGTAAAAAACCTGCACATGAACCCCTGAACTTAAAATAAAAATTTAAAAAAAAGAAAAGATTTTGCTTCAAACCACCATTGAAGAATGAGTTGCAAAAATCAAAGTCAATACTTGGACCAAATGAGTCATTGAAACTGAGTGTAAGTTAGGTTAATAAATTCTTTAACTTGCTGGACCCATCAAAGAATGTGAAGTTCCCTCCTTCACAATCTGCCCAAGACCCAAATGGTTGTATTGTGATTTTAGAGTAAATGGTTGATGGGGCAAATTTAATAATTGCCCAGGATGTTCTCTATCAAACTGGCTACTCCAGGGCCCCTTCTCCATGGTTTACCATTCACAGGTTCTAGGTTAGTGTTTTTGTTTGTTTGTTTGTTTGTTTTTGTTTTTTTGTTTTTCTTTTAGAGAAGGAAAGGGGGAAAAAAGGAGTGAAGGAGAGGAAGAAAGAGGAAGAAAAAGGAGGAGAGAGAACGGAAATGTTGCTTTATTCTAAAAATTGGGTATTAATAATGGCCAATCAATATTTCATTTAAACCTCTGAGTAGGTGTGATGTGGTATTGACAAGAATGTATATTTTGTGTATTTAAAGTGGAGAGCTCTATAAATATGTATTAAGTTTACTTGTAATATTAATAATTTACAAGTAATATTTATTAATATTAATAAATAAATAAATATTTATTAAGTGTTTAGCTTTGAGATATTTATCTTCTGTCTTAAGAAATACCTTAACCTGGCATCTCTAGCCTTTTTGTTTGTAAATTTATACTGGCACATGGATCCCAGGTTGCCGAAATCATGAAACGGCATTTGGCTGGGCATGGTGGCTCACACCTGTAATCCCAGAACTTTGGAAGCCAAGGCAGGCAGATCACTGGAGGCCAGGAGTTCAAGACCAGCCTGACCAACATAGTGAAACCCCATCTCTACTAAAAATACAAAAAAATTAGCCAGATGTGATATTGCATGCCTCTAATCCTAGCTACTCCAGAGGCTGAGGCAAGAGAATTGCTTGAACCTGGGTGGAGACTGCAGTGAGCCAAGATCACACCACTGCACTCCAGCCTGTGCACACACACACACAAAACAAAAGTAAAACAGCATTTATTTAAAAGTTGCAAAGCCCACAAAAAGCAGTAAGAGTAACACACTAACTATTCACATTATCTTAAACTTGAAAAACCAAGGCCCAGAAAAATGTTGGAACTTATACGGGGTCAAATAACCACCATACACACACAAAATAAAAGACAGTTTCCCCCTAATTGATCTTTCAAGAATCAATTTATAGTCTTTATAGCTAGTTCTTCAAACGACAAGAATCGCTTTATAGTCTAGTTCTTCAAAAGTCTCTGATGTTGCAGGATTTTATCTCAGTTACTTTATTTTTACCCACAAGTTACTGTTTTGGGAAGACACTAGCCAGAAACAAACTTAATTTTTAAAAATGCTAGTTTTTAGTGCTGATAGAAGTCCCCTGGAGGGGATCCATTTCAAAATATTAGCTCTCCCCTACCTTCCAAAAATCCAAAGTTAGTACTTTTTCTTGTGACCTAACCTCACATTTACCAGTTTAAGATGTTGTTGGCAATAAGAACTTTAAAGGTCATTTAAAAGATAAATAAAGAATAGATAAATGGGAACTTGAGCTGGGGATAAAATGTACAGTTTTAACCTCAGGAACTGATTTTTTAAACTTCATGCTGAAACAAATGTAATCTGGTCTGGAGCATTGAGTGGATGACTCAAAACTGAAATTCTCCATTCTTAAAGAAGATTCTAACAAGAGAAGCTCAAATAAAAACTGCACCACAAGGCCAAGTGTGGATCCCTGCACTTTTTTGGGAGGCCGAGGCAGGCAGATCACTTCAGGCCAGGAATCTGAGACCAGCCTAGCCAACATGGCGAAAATCCGTCTCTATTAGAAATACAAAATTTAGCCAGGTGTGGTGGTGCACACCAGTAATTCCATCTATTAGGGAGGCTGAGGCATGAGAATTGCTCAAAACCAGGAGGCAGAGGTTGCAGTGAGCACAGATCGTGCCACTGCACTCCAGTCTGGGCAACAGAGCAAGACTCTGTTTCAATAAATAAACAAATAAAAATTATACCACAAAATAAAAGTTGAGAGAAAACAATATATATCAATATTTATGTATAGATTAGTATATATAAATATAGCAACATTAATCAATAAAATATCATAACTAGATATTTCACCATTCCATTTATATATTTAAATATTTATATATTCAAGTTGGCCCAAACCCTTATTACATCTTAGTACATTCTTAAAACATCTCATTTGGGAAAATGGGAGATGAGCTTATATTCACGGCTGTCTTGGATTTGGTCCTATGAGGAACTTGGATTTCACTCTTCATAAATGTCTCTCCTCCCTAAGAATGTTATCAAAGACCTCCTTTTGGACAGCATAGGCCTTATGCAAACATCCTGTGGTGTAGATGAACAAACTGAGACTCAGATTTACTCAAAATTGGGGAAGACTTGAGGAAGCACTCAAACATGCTACTGCCTGGCCCCTTGTGGCCAGGGAGGTTGGGAAGCCACCAGGAGATGTACTGAGGATGGTTTACCTGAAGTTCCGGTGGAATCCCCGGGTATCCCTTCTCTCCTTTGGGGCCATGCTGCCCCCGCTCCCCTCGAGGCCCCAGGTCACCTTTGTCGCCCTTCTCACCTTTGGCTCCTTCATGACCAGTGGCTCCGTTGTTGCCATTGTTTCCATGGTTTCCTTAAACAACCAGACATCACACCATGAGAAAACCCAGTCGCTCATACTTACCATCCATTTCTAGACAAGCTGTCCAAATTCAATTATGAAAGGGGACCATTCGAAACAATCCCAAATAGAACCAAGGGGTATCATCATCTAAATGGGGCACCAGGCTCTGAAAGAAGCCTTAGATACCCCAAAGCTCCAAAGCCTGTTTATCCTTTGAAGCAAGTCTTGGAGGAAAAATTGTGTAGAAGACTGATTATCATATTATCATTTAAAATAGCAAAGATTGGAAACCACCTATATAATCACCAATACAAGGAGGGCATGGCATATTCTAATAAACCATGTTACATAGTCATAAAAAAGAGGGCTGAAGAAAAATGTTTAATGATACAGTGATATTCATGATATTTTTAGATTTTAAAATGTTATGAGTGGCCAGGTACAGTGGTTCACACCTGTAATCCCAACACTTTGGGAAGCCAAGGTGGGAGGATCACTTGAGCCCTAGAGTTTGAGATCAGCCTGAACAACATGGTGAGATCCTATCTTTATGAAAATAGAAATTAAAAAATTAGCCAGGTGTATCGGTGCACACCTGTAGTCCCAGCTATTTGGGAGGCTGAGGCAGGAGGACCTCTTGAGTTTAAAAGGTCAAGGCTATAGTGAGCCTGGATTTGTCACTTCACTCCAGCCAGGCAAAAGGGTATGATCTTGTTTCAGAAAAAAAAAAGTTACGAGTAAATAGAAATAACATGGTGCTATTTGTGTTTGGAAAAAATATGTATTTGTGGATTATATTCATAGAGAAGAGACTAGGATAAGTTACAGAAAAAAGGCCACAGTGGTTTTTTTCTAAATGTGAAACCTGAGTAATGTTCATGTCATTCTATATATTTTTCTGTCTCTTTGAAGTTTTCTACAAAAAACACATATCACTTTTATAACTGAGGAAAGGTAAATTCATTCATTAAACAAATTACAGCAATGGTTTTGAAAGCAAGAGTTGGAAAACAATTTCAACTCTTCCCTTTGCCATCAAGAGACAATTTTTACGGCTCTTCTTTATTTTAATATTTGCTAACTTTCAGGCTTTTTTGCTGTTTATTTTGCATGCTACCTTTGATCAGTTATCATAACAGGCTTATGACTCTTCCAAATGAATGATCTTTGACTGTGTTTACAAATTAATGTTTTCAGTGACAAAGCCATTTCCTGGTTGGAAAACATTTAACCAAGGCCAGCCTTTCCTGTAACCTCAGAAGAGTTAAGCCCTGACAAGATTTTATAAGGGTCAAAATAGCCCCTACCCTACCTCATTGCACCTGCTGGCTGCTGTCCTTGATGGCCAATGACATAGGTTCCAAGCCAGTAAGTGTAAAGTTTAACATAGGATTTTCTTACTATAAATTTGGTTTTGTGCAAGAAGCTACTCAAAAGTAGAAAAAAAAATGAAACTACATTTGATAAATGTTAACATCAATGAGAGTAAGTCACAGAAGAGCCAGTGGACTTTGGCCATACCCTGAGATGAGGTCTTACCCTTGGGATTAACATGAAGATGAAGACAATAGAACCCAAGATACATTTGGGAGCCCCAGATTGAGGGGACCTGAGCTAGCCTCTCCTGGGCTGACCCAGAGCACCAACAGGCTCATGGCACCCCCACCCTGTTCCTGGAGCCATCGACACAGTAGAGATGACCGAACTGTTGGTCTAGTCGGTCTGATGTGGCTCCAGAACATTCCCCATGCCACTACATGGTGCTGGAGCCTAAAAATGTTTCCATGAGCCCAAGAGTGGTTTGAGTCAACTGACAGATAGCTGAACACGGAGAGACCCTGAGATTGGAGGAGGAAACACTTAGCAGGTCCTAGAGTCACACACTCAGTGACTGGCATGGAAATGACTGTAGCCCAGACCAGTAAGCTTTCGGCTCTGCTCTGCCCTTCCTAAAGCATGCTGTGGCAGATATACTGGAATGAATACTATGACCAGGTAGTTTCAGACTCAACCCTGGTGAGGAGCCTCCAACCTGTGGACCTAGGAGCAAAGGGCAAACCTAAATAATTTGGGAGTTCCAAATTATTACTCCAGGGTGCCACAAGTCTAGTGGATCCTTTGGATCACACACAAGTGATCCCAAATTATTTAGGTTTGCCCTTTGCTCCTACTTTAGCTCGGACTGCAATTAGATTGACAGCATGTCTTGCGCATCCTTACCTGGAATGCCAGGAGGGCCCGGTGGCCCAGGGGGCCCTTGGTAGCCTCGAAAGCTGTAGTCTCCATGACAACACTTACTGCAGTCTGGGGCCATTCCTCCAGTTTGTGGAGACTAAAAAGATAGAAAGAGAAGCTTCAGAAAAAAAGGCACTTGTGAGCAATTAGGATTTTTTTTTTTTTAGAGACGGAGTTTCGCTCTTGTTACCCAGGCTGGAGCGCAATGGCGCGATCTCGGCTCACCACAACCTCCGCCTCCTGGGCTCAGGCAATTCTCCTGCCTCAGCCTCCTGAGTAGCTGGGATTACAGGCACGCGCCACCGTGCCCAGATAATTTTTTGTATTTTTAGTAGAGACGGGGTTTCACCATGTTGACCAGGATGGTCTCGATCTCTTGACCTCGTGATCCACCCGCCTCGGCCTCCCAAAGTGCTGGGATTACAGGCTTGAGCCACCGCGCCCGGCCACAATTAGGATTTTTAAATTTCCTCTGGTCTTGGCCCTTAGGTAAGCTTAACTGCAATCCACAACAAGATCAGAAAAGATGGGATGGGGTGGAGATATCAATGGTAAAAGGTCAGGGAGCAGCTACGGTGAGTTGATGATCGAAGGAAAAGGCAGCAAGAAAGTCAACAGGGGAAGATGCTCTTTGAAAAGGCGGGTGGGTCAGGGTGGGGAATTGGGTCATATTTCCGGAAAGTGCTTTCCTGCTGCTACTATAACAGCAAAGGAAGAAACTCCTTCAGAAGTAGATTTGGAAGTCTTTTCTCTTTCCCAACTGCCATAGCCCCAGATGTAGCTAAATTGAGTATATGACCCTCCAATTACAAGAATTGTCCACTTCAAACACTGTTACTAAATTCTTACTATGCTTACTATATTCGTGATACCGGGTTAAGAGCTAGATTAAAAGTTCTTAGAAATTCTGAATAGTAACACTAGGTTTTCAAACAGCTACAGCACACTTAAATTGCCCTAGAAAATGAAGAAAATAAAGTATTCTTTAGTCCAATACATTTATTTTCTTAACTGACAACTACAAATTGTATATATTTATCATGTATAACATGTCGTTGTAAAATAAGTGCACATTGTAAATACCAAATTGAGCTAATAAACATATTAGCTCATAATACGTTTTTTGTAGATATATATGTATAGATATATATTTTTTGTAAATAATATACTTTTTGTGGAGAGAACACAAATCTGCTCTTAGCAATTTTCAGGAATACAATACATTGCTATTAAATATAAGTCTAATACATTTGTATTAATTATCTACGTCTTGAAACAACTTTAACTTTACAAGTAAATCGACTATTTAACATGATTTCTGTTTTGCACATTCCACTTTAAAATATGAAATGATTGGTTGGCTGGGCATAATGGCTCATGCCTGTAATCCCAGCACTTTGGGAGGCTGAGGGGGGTGGATCACCTGAGGTCAGGAGTTGGAGACCAGCCTGACCAACGTGGTGAAACCCCGTCTCTGCTAAAAATATAAAAATTAACTGGGCGTAGTGGTGCATGCCTATAATCCCAGCTACTTGGGAGGCTGAGCCAGGAGAATCACTTGAACCTAGGGAGCGGAGGTTGCAGTGAGCTGAAATGGCACCATTGTACTCCAGCCTGGGTGACAAGAGCAAGACTCAGTTTCAAAAAAAAAAATTGTGAAATCCTTATCTCACTGTTTGAATCGATATTTAATAAGCTCTTAATGGGTACTAAATATGCTCAAATATGACACTGAGTAAAATACTTATTTATACAAAGATAAATTTCAAAAATGTGTGCTTTGTGTCAAAGAGCTAAAGATCTAGTGGACGCTGGCTGCAGAAGAGTTAAAGTTGCTTATGAAATTTGAACTCTCATCTGAATTGGCAAATTGCCTTTTAATTATGTCATACAAAATACTCGTGGAAATGTTCCTAGACATCAATTATCATTCAATGGTCTTTTGAAAACAGCATGTTGTTGCTAAGAGATTCATGAAAAAAATGAGATAAAGGAGAGAAAGGAGGCCAGGGAAGAAGAGAAAGAAAAAGGAAACACAGAGAGAGGAAAAAAGAATTTAAAATTCAAGTTATATTTATCACAAAAACTTTAAGCAGAAAACTAGGTCAAAACTTCACACAGTTAAACATGTAAACCTTATTTTTTTTTCTTTAGTCAAAAATGGGCTTGGATTTTGTTCTCACTCTCTCACCACTTTTTCCTAAAATTTTCCACAAAGCTATTCAGGGAAAACACTGAACAGTATCTGAAGCACAAGCACTCTCCTGCAACAGCTCAGAACCCAAGACTTGCCTGATCAGCAGCTACAACTTAGAGCTAACTCTAGTCTTGTCTTCAGTCTACCAGGCTCCAACCTGGACAAGAACTAGAGTCTATGAAAACCTTCTGTCAAATTGGTAGGGGAAGAAAAATCAACTAAAGCCATAGATTTGAGATGAGCGATTTCATCTCAGGGAGTTTATCTGAGGGATTTCAGGACACTTGGAAAGTCAAAGATACCACGGCTCGCCCCACCTTCTCATCCAAAACTGTAATCTGAGAACGAAGGATTCCATATTTCCTGCCATGGTTTTGCTAATGTGAAATTCAGCCTTTTAAACCTCAGAAAATTCAGGGCTCTGCCAATGATGAATTTTAAGGATGGAGAAGGGAGGAGAAGAAGGGAAAATCCTCAAGTGGAATCACTGATGTAGGAATGGAATGGAAATACTGAGATGCTTAGGAATGTTGAAACACCCACTGGACTGTAAACCAGAATTTCCATCGTGCTGCTGCGTGACCTTAGAGAAGTCACTGTTCTCCAGACATCTTTTTTTGTTTGCTTTGTTTTGGGCTATTAAATCAAAGCATTGGATGAGGTGGTGTTGGGGCACTGAAAATGACTCTTCAGAACAACATGCTTCAGTGTGTTGAGTGCTTTGGAAATGGAAGGCTTCAGAGATAAGCCACAAAGATAAGGTGAGCTCAGGGAGGAGGAAAGGGTCCATGGAGCAGGACAAAAGCTCACTTGATCTTGACTTTCAGTATGAATGCAGGTCATGAGAGAGGGGCCCTCATGATTCTCCTGACCTTTTGGATTTTAAGAAAGATGTGTTGGAAGAGCTACCACAGGGATAACTGGCTTGTGGGGTAGGGCGGGAGAGAGAGAGAGAGAGAGAGAGAGAAAGGAAAGAAAGCCTCAGATCCAAGGTCTCTCTCTGCTCTTTCCCTGCCTCCCAGTCTCTCTGATCCCCTTTCCAGAAGTGCCTGGAGAGACTCTGTTTGGAATTTCAAATAAGGAAATGTGACTAAGGAAGCTTCTTTCCAGAAGAAATGCAATTGTCTTAAGAACTCCTCCTTAGGAATCTGTCAAATAACCGGGAAAGATAAACCACTAGAGAAGAGACTGGGAGTTATCACAAGGCTCAGACAGGCTTTTCTGTATTTCCTTAAGGCAGCTAGGAGACATAATCTGGGAAGCTTTAAGACAACCTCTGTTCACAGTAAATTTCCCTTCCCTTCCTGACACTGTTACAATAGGTAGCTACTCAGACATAAGCAGGATAGGGGAGGGCTCTACCTGACCAGGAATATCAGGTGATCATCAGGTGATGGTCAAGTGGTTTTTAACTGTCACTCTAAAATAATAATTGGTTGCACCCAGTGCCAGGGAAAGGCAGTCTCCCTAGAAAAAAACCTGAAACCGGTGATCAGCAGCTTCCCAATAAGAGGTCAGGAGTTGGGTAAGTGGGCTCAAGCATGTGCATTAAGAGGCAAAATGTCAGAATTTAACTGGCAAATGATCTACTAGGAGCATTTGACTGGTAAGGGAAGAGTACCTCAAGTAAGCATGCTTACAACTCCAGTGAACACACTGTGCATGCTCACCTCCCAAGTAAGTGCTGGCAGGCCACTGCCCATGTGGACAACCCACCCCAAGGGAAGAATCAAGGAAGTAACGCAAGACCCCAGAAGAATGCCAACACAAAAAACCTAAGTCAAAATATCAAATCGTGCACTTGTCTTTCAAGTTGTCCATTCTGCCCTCTTTCTGGTATGCTTGCCTTCCTTTTGTTCTTGCTATAAGGCTCTTTAACAAACTTTCATTCCTGTTCTAAAGCTGGCTTTGGTCTCTCCTTCCGCCTTCTTACCCTCAATGGAATTGAGGAGCCAAGCATTGAGGTTGCTGCAGACCTGCATGGATTTGTTGCTGGTAAGAACACCGCCCTCAAGGCTCAGAGGAACTTTTTCATTTCCTTCTACATTCCCCAACTCCCCGCCACCCTACATGGAAGGGTGTGTCAGCATGCATACTGCATTCCCATGCGATTCCCGTGTGCTATACCATTAACTAAATCTGTATGTGTTTTTCTCCTACTGATCTGCCTTAGGACAGTTAATTTTCAGAGAATCTTCAGAGGGTGAAACAGGGGAAGATTTCCCACTTTTCCCCTACCATGGTCTTGCATTTTTGTTGTTGTTGTTAAAGTCTAGTATCTAGGCACAAGAAGTCAGCTCCAGGAGATGAGGTTGCTCAATGCTAGAGCTAACTTGGATCGGAATTGCAAGACCAAGCTACTCGAGGGCACTTCGAGAGGACAGAGCTGTCACCAAAACAGTGAGAGACTTTTGGTTGTTACTAGTCGGGCGCCTCGTGAGAACCCTTCAGCAACATTGCATTACATGTTCCTCCCTCTGGCCTTGCCTTTCAAAGTTCAGTTGAATGGAACAATGCTTGTGAGTCTTTTGATGGAACTCTTAGAACAAGTTGGACGGTATGTGTTAATTCAGAAGTTTTCTCCTAGGCAAGGGAAAAATTACATGTATGTAGTTGCTATTTATGATCTCCTTAAGTTTATAAGCCCCTTTCTCAAAAGCAGGTCAAATTTCTATGCAGAAGGCATGTGAATTTGCCTCATGGGAGAAAGACACGCTCCATCAATTTTGTAGATGGAGGCCTAGGGGTAGTGATGCAGGACTGAACTCTACTACTAGTAAGTGACTTCTAGGAAGGAGAGTTATAGCCCCTTTTTTTAACACCTCCCTCCCAAAAAAAGGGAAAAGAAAGGAGAGGAAGGGAAGTGGGAGGAGAGAGAAATGGGTATCCAGGAGAAGAAGAGGAAATTGATAAAGGTAGATGACAAAGAGCCTGCAGAGAAGAAAATACCGGGAAAAGAGTCCAGGTCTGCTCACCCCAGATCTCTGGCCATTGTACTCCACCATGAACCCCCAGCCAGAGCATCTCTCCAGAACACAATCTGATTATCTCACTGTCCTGCTATGAACAAACAAAATCTTGCTGGCAAAGCAAAACCTAAGCTCCTAAACCAGATAGCAGAATCCTTCTTGGCCTGACACTAAAATTATGTAATGTCCCATCCCCCCAACCCCCACCTCTGCATCCCTAACCCAGGAGCTTCAGCCACAGCCAACTCCTCACAGGCCCTCCAGTCTCTGTTCCAGCACCTTTTTTTTCTTCCTAATTTGCTATGGATAGGCATTCTTTTAATCTCATCTTTTAAGATCCAACTCAAAAACCATCAGTATTTTTAACACTTTCGCTCAACTGCCTTTTATGTACTGACTTTATTTAACACATGGCATTTAATTAAACTTAATTTAATTAAAGAAATTATCTCTACTAGAGCCCTTCAGGATGGTTTGGACATGGGAGCTCAGGCATATTTATCTTTATATATCCCTGACCCCCCTTTTAAAGTTTGGCACAAAATAGAAGCACAAGAAATGCTTGGTAACTAAATGAATAAAAGGAAAATTAAATTAAATGAAAGAAGAGGGAAAGAGGAAGTAGGGAAAGAAGGAAAAACATAGCAGAATCCTAAATTCAATCTGTATCTCCACAGCCATTGGTAGAGGAGATGTACTGAAAACTCTAAATATCCTCACTATCTCATATTGGTGGTTTGTTTGAAAATACTTCAGGATTCTAGAAGGTAGAGTGAAGGAGAAATGTGATCTGGATTTCAGTGGCCTGCTGGGTGTTGGTTGTCAGGACATAATGACCAAAGATAACCTTTAACTTCCTTCTGCTGCCTCTGGGGAATCACACTGTCATGTCCAGAAAGAATACCATCTATGAAATGGAAAGTCCAGATCAAGTCTTGGACACAAGTGAAAATATCTTCACTACAAAACAAAAACAAAACAAAAAACCCACACACAAATTAGCGTGAATCATTACCCTTTAGCCAAAAGATTGTCAGATGAATAGACAATGTCTGAAAGTGGCTTTCAAAAGATATGATCACATTGAGAGAATATCATTTCTTCCGTGGCTCCTTAAAGAAGCATTTTCTCTTGATACAGCCCCCACAGAATGGTTCAGGCAACTGCATTGTGTGGTCAGGTTAGAAGCTCTGAGTTAGTTTCAGATCTACAACTGATTCTGTATGTGATCTTGGTTCCTAATATATAACCAAACAACCCACCCAAACTTCTCAATCCATGGTAAAAAGGATTTAGATTTCAACTACATGAAATTCTTCAGGTCCTATTTAATGCATTAAAGTAGCCAATTCTTGTAGTAAAAACCCATGTGTTCAAATATCACATAACTCAAAGTAACTCTTCTCACTCCATCTGTTTTCAACATACCAGATGCCTAAATATGTCTCTTCCTGTATTTAATGTTTTAAATTACATTGAGTTTCACCAATTTGTAATTCACTATACTGAAATCTTAACTCACTCTTACACTACCAAGAGTTAAAGATATTTCCTTAAATGCTGAATGTAGAACCTGAGAAATAGATCAAGTCCTCTGTGATTATCAGGCATCAAATCATGCTATAAGGTTTGCATTTTAAATATACAGTTTATTTTTTATTTAACTCTTTAATTCTTTTTTAAACAGGCTGAACAGGGAGGCTTAACAACCCAGAATGCTATAAATCAAATAAACAAGACTGCCGAGAAATGTCACAGTATACTCACAGGTCAAAGTAAAAAAAACTCTGATTGCTTTTGACAAACTCAAAGGGCAGCTTCTCCCTGCTGGAAGAGATTAAGAAAGTCCAGTTCTCTTACGAACAGCAAATGATTATCTACCGCAACCCATCTGTCTTCATGGGTCAACACTCCTTTCCAGACCAACAGACCAAGAAAGAAATCAAGTCCCAGCATAGCGGGAAGCTGGCTCCCCTTTCTGATGAGGTGACGCTATGGCCACTCTTTATTCCATCACATCTGCTGATTTTCTAAAAGAGACTGACAGCCTCTCTTGTACCCTAGAGCAATTCAGGAAAGGATCCACAAGCAGCTTAGCAAATGTCTCTAAAGTATTCATTGATTCTAATAATCTTAGCCAAAAAAAAAGAACAACAGCAGCAACAACAATAGCAACAGCAAAAACAAAACTCATTAAGCTTTCACACAAATCCTTAAAAGAGAATTCTGAGTACCTGGCCCCAGAATGGGGTGATCTGGGCTAGGTCATCTACCTCGGGGTGCGGTAGCTCATCTGGTCTCAGGGATTTTAGGTCTGTAGAAGTGTTATTATCCACAGTCCCAGTTTTAGGATGGCTCCGCTCTCTCACTTTCTCCCTCCTGGAGCCGCTACGGCCAGTCTGCTGGTGGCTTTGCACTATTCTCGCCACCACTTTATTAGCTCTTCCGCTCACCTCCATGTATTCATCTTGACACAGGCAAAAAGGGAGGAAAAACAAAGCCAGAAGTTGCCAATAGATGAGCTGCCTCCAAAGCATGATTCTCAACAGAGCCTCAGAGCCTCCCTGAGGCTCCTTCCAGGAGCGTGGTCTCCTCGGGTGGATGCCAGGACTGGAGCTGAGAGCTGAAGCGGCTCTCAGTTTGGTTTTATAGTTTGGTGTGTAATAAATAAGGCTGTAGGCATGCCAGAGTGACAGCAGCCCTCCTCCCCTGGCAGAACAGCCCCCATTCATCACTTTCCCACACCACAGGCAAGACCGATCTGTGTGCACACTTTCCAGTTGGCGGGATTCATAAGTGTCACACCTTGGCACGTTTCTGTTGAAGTGTGAAGAAAACATACACAACTAGCAGGGAACAGACAGCATGTGTCCAGCGGCTGGCTTTCGTGATTAGACATGAAAAGGCTGTGCATTTGCAGTCTGAAAAGCCTTTTGGAAAAATCTACTCTTGCGCTTGCCAGGAAATTCAGGCTTAACTGCATGAGTTTCGTCTGAAATAGCAGTGGAAACCCATTCAGGGCTTTCACGACAGCTCTTGCTATCTAGCTGTACAGTTAATACTTCCCCACTTGGGCCCACTTAAGGTAACTCATTTCCCCTTCCGGATACCGGCGGCAGAAGGCGGTTGGTCTCCTAGGAAACACTGAGCGGGAATCAGGTGCAGTGTTTCTGGGTATAGCAACAATATTTCACCATCTTCAGCTTTACTTCTTTTTCCCCTGGCTTCCCAAAAGCCAATATTAAATCAAAGTTAACCAAGTCAGCTACTGTTAGATTAAGATACAACACCCTGCTGTAAAAGAAGGCTATCTATCTCTGGCTACTCTTTCATTTGACATATTCTTGATTAAAATAGAAATGGGGTCGAGCACAATGGTTCATGCCTATAATGAGCACTTGAAAGGCCAAGGCGGGAAGATCCCTTGAGCCCAGGAATTCGAGACCAGCCTGGGCAAGACCCTCTCTCTACTAAATAAATAAATAAATAAATAGGAAGAAGTGGAAAGCACCAAATGCATTATTTCAAACACAGCATGTCTAGATCAAGAGGAGTCTCATGTTCTTTGCTTTAGTTACTATACTTTTACTAATTCAGCCAAAAAGCAAATGGACATTCCTAATCTCTTCAGGGTAATAAATTAAGAGAATTTAAACAGTTTTGTCATTAAAAATTGCTTCTATTTATATACAATTTTATTTATATTACTCGTTCACTCACTTAAGAAAAAGTCACTGGCCTTCTCTCGTGAGGACTAAAGAGACTCAGGACTGTGAAGAACACGGGTGGCAAGGGTCTGATGAGAAGTGGATGAGGAGGCACTGTGAGAAACTGAGGCTTGGAGAAGCTCAGCCTGCTGATGAAAAGTCAGAGCAGCTGCAGAAAGAGGAGAGAAGAGGGAGCTGCTGACAGCTGCCCCCGTCACTCAGCCAAGGGCCTGAGAACCAAGAGCCATCTCTAGAAGTGCCCAGAACTGGCAAAAGCTAGCCTGGCCCCTCCTGCAGCCGCCAGAACAGCCACTTCCAGAGTCCACATTTACACATGAAAAGGGTTTGGTGCTGGGGACGGAAGGAGAGAGTTACTCTGTGAACTAAAAGCTCTCCAGGCCACAGTGCAGGGGCCTTCGGAGGCATGTTCTGTCTAAGCAATCAGTTCCCACCTAGTAAGGCATGAAAAACTCAGCCATCTCCATGCTACATGTCTACTCTTGAGCATCCAGACCTTGCTCACTGGAGGATTCTTGAGTTCTGTCATGTCCACCGTTAAAAGGCAGATGTCCCTGGGAAGGGAAGCGTGTCAAACTGTTATTCTTAGTAACTGAGGATTTTCTTCCCAACCCTGGAGCTGGAGCTGGGGCGAGGATGGACCTGGGTTTGGAGGGCGAGCAAGTGGATGGGGTTTTGCTGTGGGAAGGAGAACCCAGAGCACTATGTCAGTGAGGGATGTTTCCTCATCAGGGAGGCCCGGAGAAAATGTCACAGGGAAACCACAAAGCAAGCAGTGGCTCTGAAAACTAGGTCACCTAATTCACAAGTTTTCCAAGAGCTGTCTCTGGCTCTCGCCATCATGCATCCCCCACGACATAGGCTATCTTGTTAAGTAACTATAAATCAGACTCTGACTTCCCACCGTATTGAGACTTTCCATTCGTGTTTTCAATCCTGTCATCTATTCTAGCAGTTCTCAACCCTGGCTGCATGTTAAACCAGGGAGCTTCTAAAAATATTAGTGCCTGGATTCCATCCTGGACCAATTGAGTCAGAATCTGTATGGAGCCTGGGCAGTTTTTAAAAAGTTCCCTCAGATGATTCTAAGGTGCATTCAGGGTTAGGAATCACTGACCCATCCTCTCCTTGACTCAAAAGGAATAAATAATAACATCCATAATTTGATAAACACTTACCACGTCCTAGCCAAGTACTTCTTTGCTTTATCTCACTGACTTCTGTCAGCAAACCTATGATCCCATCTTACAGATGAGGAAATAAAAGCTGCTGAGATAAAGTGACTTGTCTTGCGTTATGCAGCTGGAAAGAATTGAACTCTTCTGTCTTTCCAGAGTGAGCTCTGCTGCCTTCCTACAGAGAGGAATCTGCAGAGCAGGATCCCGCCTTCTCTCTGCCATTGACCCGTTATTGATTTCTTGGGAGAGATCAATAATGGGCCAATGGCACAGAGAAGGAGGTCAGTCTGAGAGCTGCTCCTCAAGAGTTGGGGTGAGAAAGTGTTATGGGTTGGGTTGTGTCCCCCCAGAAGAAATTTAAGTCCTAACCCCTAGTACTGGTAAGTATGACCTATTTAAAAATAGGGATTGTTAAAGTAAATGAAAATAGAGACCAGGCCTGAAGAATCCCTTTGCGGACACAGCCAATTAGGTCTCATAAGTGACCTTAACCTTACTTACTTGGTTTGCACACAGAGGCAAAACTTAACTTCAGCAACTTTTTGTAAATGCCTATATTAAATAAACACAGTACATAAGTTCAATGACTTAGAAGCTTTCCAACGGGATAGACCAAATAAGGCAACTGTACAACTGTAACCAATCAACTATTTTCTTTGCTTTACATCTGTGTTTATCCTATAAAACCTCCCCATCCCTTGTGTTCCCCTGGTGGAGCTCCTGAACCTCTTCTGGTTTAAAGTTGCCTGAGTCATGAATTGCTGTTTGCTCATCTTTCAAACGATATTGTGCCTCCGTTTACTTTTTAACAGGTCTTTATACGACTTAAGATGAGGTCATTAGGGTGAGCCCTGACCCAACATGACTTGTCCTTATACAAAGGGAAAACTGACACACAGAAGCAGAATGCACACAGGAAGCACACCCTGTGAAAATGAAAGTGGGGGTGAGGGTAATGCATTTACAAGCCAAGAAATACCAAAAATTGACAGCAAACCACCAGAAGGTAGGTGAGAGGTGTGGGCCCAGATGGCCAGGGACAGACATATGCTGTCTCTACTATTGCTGATTAAACAAACATGTTTGATTTGCTTATTAGCTTATAAAGTTTGCGGTACACTGAAGTTTATACGCTGAAATAAACAATAGTGAATGAAAAGCAAAGCACAAAAGAGAACAGCAAAATCGATAATGGGAAACCTAAAGTGAGACCATCTGAGAGCGCCCCATTAACCGTGGCACATCTGCGGTGTGGTTGCAAGGCAGGAAAACACTGCCTCGGTCCCACAAAATCCTTTCCAACATGGAGTCTGCACAGGGGTCTCGTAAAGAGGGCTTGTGTAGACACCCAGGAAAGGTCAGTGACCTCTGCTCACAAGATCTGGGAGGGTCTGTGCAGACAGGAGCTGATAAGGCAGGAAGGCCTTGCAGGCAGAGATAGTGGAACACACCCTGCTCTGCCTAGGTTCTCAGAATATGGGGTAATCTCGGTTGCCCTCTGTCCACAGTGCTTGGGAGATAAAAGCCCCTTGATGCATTGTGTGTGGTCAGACCTGGTGGCTCCCTCCCGGCTGTGTTCGGGTGCAGCTGCATACTGATAATGATCAGTGGTAAAACTTGGTGTACTAGATTCGCCTCTCTTAGAAGAACCACCTGTTTCATTGTATTCTAATGATGCACGTTTCTCCCACTGGCTCTTTTGTCCCATAATAGTTTCAAGGCCTCCCCCATAATGCCCACTCAATTAGCAAGTGTGTGCACCTAATAAAAACCTGTGGAAACCAGAACTCGGGGCCAGCATGGTCCTCGCACTTTACGTTGGTTCCCCGGACTCACTTTTTGAACTCTATTTCTGTGTCTTTATCTTTTTGTCCTTTCTTAATCCCTTGTTACCACTGGGGCTCGGAGCACCCAGGAACAGGGTTGGGGCTGGTACCCAACAGAGAGACATGGAACAGATCATTCTCTCACAACCCTTAGGAGGAACTATCTATCCCTGCTAACAACTTGATCTCAGACTTTGAGACTTCAAAACTGTGACACAACAAATTTCTGTTTAGGTCACCTCATTTGTAGCATTTTGCTATGGCAAACAAATACAGAGAACATGTATGAAAACTTTTAAAAACAACGACAAAAGCACTCCAGACCCAGTAGTGGTCTAGAGTCTGTGCATGTACTTACTATCTTTAGTCTCTGCATATACTATCTTTTACACGCAGAGATGGTAGTCTGAAAAGATTTCGTAAATTGCTCAAGTTCATGGGTAGTAGGTAGAAAACTGGACCACAGAGAAGAGTCCCTCATCGTTCAATATAGGCTTCTTTTACTTCCCTCCAGTATTTTCTCATTAAATGCATTTTAAACGTTGGTTCATTATTAAATCTTACTTGGTTATCATTTTATACGTGCTCCAGGATGTTCCTTATATCTAGTTTTCAAAATGTGAATAGAAATCGGGCATAATTATTTACCTATGGGTTGAATATTAAAAACATCTAGAACCTACCCCAGGCAACCTCCCTGGAGGTGATGAAGTCCCAGTTCTGCACAGTTGTCTCTGGTTGTGAAACTTCACAAAGGATACCTGAGGACATCAGGATCCTGGATACACAGGGACTGTCACTGCATCCTGCCTGCCATGGGCCCAAGGGCCCAGTTAGGATGTTGCCACAGCCACTAATGTGAGCAGCAGAGGTGCAGATGCATATAAATATACATGTAAAACCTAGTTCCGTGACTCAGCTTTTCAGGCAGAGGCAAATATTTGTTTAGTTTTACAAGGAGGCTGTTGTAAGATGTGTAGGTGCCCCATGGCCTCCCCAATGGTGCTTCACTGTGGCCTGAGCCAAAAGGAGA